TATTTTCATTTATATTAACAATGACCGGAGGTGAGTATTACGCGAGACCGCCGCGCCACTAAAATAGAAATTTTAATGTGGCTGAATACTGGCAACAGTTGCCATTGTACTCTGAATTTTTATCAGACAAAGAAATAAAATAAGTTTTTTTATATACCGTTTTATTTTACTTTCAATGTAGTTTTTTCGCAAATGTATTGAAAAACGTCGTTTGATACACGTGCGGATTTGTTATTTTCACTTGTCTCGAGTCTTGAAGCCTCGACACTCGTGAATAATGACTGACTTTCCGCACTTGTATCAAACTATTTCGGTCGTGCTAGTAAATGGACTTGATTTTCCGGTTCGAACTGCGCCTGTCGCGCTTCGCATCAATCTCTCAATGTCTTCGGACGTGTCGCGTTCCAGCGAAACGCAGGGCCCTGCAGCAGCGCTCGCCGGCGCCTGCGCCTTGGGCGACCGCAGACAAGACGTTCGTCGGAGGCTTCTTCCAGGTGACGTCGCCCGTGCGCTCGCCGCGCGCGCCCGCCGCCAGCCTGCGCCGCAGCGTGCTGGCCAGCGAGGCCGGCAAGTGCGCCGCCCAGGTACGGGAGGTTACGTACGCAGTTCGGCAATAGGATCCAGCCGCTCAACTGTCAACTGGCTAGTTGTGTGCACCGAACGGTTCCTGAGATCTAACCTTTTAGATCAGCAAAAATCCAACATAAACGTAAATAAATGTCTCTGAAGTTACATGACTTTATAAGTTTTGAAGACAAAGCAACAGTGCGAAACACTTTTAAACTTCAAACTGCCACATCTCAAAAGTGAATGGATGTGGATTGGATCATTTTTGTTTAACTACGTCCACTTAATGGCTGCAATGCTTAGTGAATCGAGAAACGGTTTGAAGGTGGCAGTCCACCCCGACAGAAATTCGAAGGCATGTTCACATGTCGACCCCTCCGACGTAAAGTATCGTATGTCGAAATTGCCAAGTTTACAGAGGAGCCTTTTAAATATTCTGAATTCACTGAAATAAGCACAATACGTGACTTTAGCATTTCTCAGTTTTATTCGACAAAGCTCGCTACTCACATAGAGTATTATAAAATCCTAGATATCGGTTAGAGGATGTATTAGATGATCACTCTATTTGAGTAACGAGCTTTGCCGAATAAAACGGAGAACTTTAAAACGCTTCCCTGTAAACTTGGCAATTTCGACATACGACACTTTACGTAGGAGGGGTCGATGTATTTGAATTGAAAAAAAAATACCATGAAAATTCCTTATACTTTTATTCCTAATAATTTCTGTGAGTTACTTTGTACGATACCGACTTAACCTGTTGTTATGGATTTCACATGCCGGAATCGCATTACGCGGTACGAACGAAACACCCAACAGCTTTTTCACTCTTTATGGATGGACTCCCTTGCTGCACATGACTCAAAACGATGTAGTTCGGGATCCCAGTGAGATTTAAACTTACATTTCCTGCGTTCGTCCAACTGTATGGTTACTGTTATATTATAACAACAATCAATCATGTATTAACAGAACGCTACACCCTTTGCCATGCTGCGGGCCTCCATCTTCGGCAAGAACGTCGACTGTCAGGACATCGTGCCTTTACAGGTAATACTTTCTATTACGGTATAGACTAAATTGCAGACAAAGTAATTTACCATCTCAAATTTTTGTGATTTACACTATAAAGGTGTGTCCAAACATAAAGCGGCATTCGAGCGCGGCGGCTTGCCGCGCTATGATTGGACGACTGCCGCGCGCGGCAGCCGCGAGCTACCTGCCGGCAAACTTGTGTCCCGCGAATGCCGCGTGTAGCTGCCGCGCACTTTGCACGCCGTGTTTGGACACACCTTAAGTAAAATCAGGTTGTCGGTTTTACTTTTTTCAATGAACTTTTGAATACCGTCACAAAAATCTTGTTGAAAATGCCCCGTATGCACTGCGCAGCTACCTTAGGAACCGACTCGGTTAAGCGGTAGGCCTACTATATTACTATAACAAGACCTGTAAAATAATTTATTCTTACAGCAAACACCACAAATGAACCCCATAAACTTCAACGCCACCCCCGGTCGGAGCATTCTGAAATCAGCAAACTCAAAATCAGGAAAGAAATCTATCAAAGTCCTTTTCAACGATTCCAATTACGAAGCGAGGGACTCGTTCACCAGCTGCGACAAATCGAAATCATCATTCGAAGGCGTCGAAGAAATTGAAAATATTAACAGTGTCATATCGCTTATAGACTTTGACAACAAGGAAAACTCACAGACTGGTATTAAGTCTAAACGTTTAGTACGTCAGGATGCCGTCGAAGGCTTCACCAGCGGTATAATGACTAGAAGTCAGAGCAAGAGTCTAAATACGCCTCAAACTCACAATGAAGAACAAAGGCGATCGTCACGTAAGAATAAAGCTGAATCTAAGGATACACCGAGCAAAACTCCCAGACAGTCACGCAAGAAGAAAGATGAAGCCACACCAAGAACGGAAAAGCGATCTTCAAAGAAGAAAATATTACAGGAAATTGAAGATGACGTACAAAAAACGCCAAGGAGAACGTCACGGCGAAGTAAAGTTCAAGATTTATTGACGTAATTTATTTTGTATACTATCGTCACAAACCAAAGGTATTATCAACTTTCTGGGATGCTATTTTATTCAGGATTCATGTCTTCCCTTTCAAGACTGTGTTATTTAATATGTTATAACAAGTCTGTAATTGCGGATTTTTAATAGACGCCAGTAGTTAAAATGGATTTAATGACATGAGAAGTTTACCCTTGCGTACGTAAATATGTAGGCAATCAAAGAACAGTTTTCAGTCATGATCACGGGATAACAAACCAGTGGAAATGGTACTCGTATCATTTAGTACCAGGACCCGTACAGCCATGTGGAATACACTTGAAAAGTATTAACTAAGATAACATTCTTGATTGGTTACATTAATTCTTTTTGTAAAATAAAACTAACTGTAATGGAATCCAGTAAGATTTACTACTGCTAACGCCAACTGTATTTATTAAGTGGATATCAAATATCGATTACTTATGTACAACATCGCAACACTGTTCGAGCAGCATAGAGCATTCTAGGTCTCTGTTTAACAGAACTTATTATCATTATCGCACAAAATTATTAAACGCGTTAAAAATAGTTTCCTGGATTTATCGGATACGTATTTATTATTGTTACTATTACAACAGCTGAAAACAGTGCAATAAACCATGTCACAAAAATTGTGTTTATTTTGGTAAGAGATGCACACGTTTGACATATAAGAGCGGTGACACAGGACTAAGATTCCACTAGTTTATTGTTCCGTGGTCATGATTTGTATCTCTGATTTTTTACATTACCAAAAATTGCTTTGTGACTTACGACGTAACAGAATGAATAATTAAAATGAAGTTGCAGTCAATTTAAAAACAATTATTATAAAGTTTAAAATTGATACTCCATTTTTGTTTTAGCTTTATCGAATTTTGTATTCTGTCTTTAAGTGTTAATAATCTCGACATCATGTTAGTTAATGTTGCATTATGTATTGTGTTCTACTATTGTTAGTTATTTTCTCAGGTATATCTTATGGCTACTGTTGACTGTCGCCATTTTGTTATTAATTATTATCCTTCATACGTAAAGCGGGACACACGCTATCAATGGTACTGATCCCCATTAAAGATGGAGCCGTACTACGCGGAAGTGCACTGCAAGCGAATACGGCCCAGCACGGGAAAATTTTGTGTATTATTGTATTGCGTCAGCTATTTCGTATTACGCTTCAACGATGTTATCACAATGTTTTGACACTTACCAAAAGGTTATTTTGACATAGAGTTCAAGCAGTAGGTGTGGCAGAGTATTGCCATTTTACTACAGTTGTACCGAGTGGGGTGTCGCTCTTATTCATACTTCGTATATTTAGTACGTAGTTATTACTATTGTTTAGTATTACGCTTAGCGTGTGTTCAGTTTAGAAAATCAGTATGTGCTTAGAAATCTTCATTGCCCGTTTAATGTATTTCGTAAATGACGAGAAATAAAAAAAAATATTGAAAGAATATATTTTCGAAATAATGGCTATAATTAATTCATTTTACATTTAGTAACCATAAGAATCTCTGTATGTTGGATAAAATAAGACATTGTCTTTAAACGTGTGCGTTGTGACGTGTGTCTTTTTAATATTAATCTTGTAAATGCGAACGTTAGTGTATAATTTTTTTACATAATAAATTGTAAAAAATATTAAAAAGAGCTTTGATTTTTACGAAAAGTGCTTTAGAATACATGTGGAACTTGAAATGGGCATCTTTTGAATTAAATTATCTGTATCGAGATTGAAGAATGGTGCCGCTAGAATAAGCTTATTCCAGCTTGTACATTGATCGAAATTGTAGGAGTTAATCAACTTAAAGTGTCTACGTACGTAGGAGAGCTCCTTGTGAAAGAGTTCGTCCAGGGAAGTGCTGCCACCTTATCTATTTCTGCTGCCAAGCAGCAATGTTAGCCTTGCAGCGTTCCGGTTTAGAAGGGTAAGGGTTCTGGTGAAGTTACAGACACGTGAGGCTTGTCAACTTATGTCTCAGGGTGACGGGCGCAACGGCAGTGCCCTTCAGATCTTTGCGATTTAAAGCTCTTGATTGGCACTGCAACTGTTACGGACAGGCGTGTAGCTTACGTATATTTTATTTTTTTTTCGGTTTATTTTTTAAACATTACAAAATACAAGTTTATTTTTTAAATGGATAAGTAATTAAATACGTAAGTACTTATAGCAACACAACTATAATATTATTTATTGAGACAATAATTTGTAGCAATACAAATACTTAATAGGAAATAATAATTTGTCGCTAATGTATGTACTCAAATTTCAATAAATAATGTGCATATTCTCTGTAATTGTTCAATTAATAAATTGAACATTAAATAAACATTCAAAATTCTTTATTTGGTTATATCAATGGCAACATTTGTAAAGTATATATGTAAGATGCCGTGTTAAATATGTGTTACGTTTTATGGCAACACTTCTACTATAAAATCTGTTCCACACGAGAGTGCTTAGTTGTATTTCAAATATATAAAAATTTAAATTTCAAGCCTGCGTTTTATTGAACAGTAATAGTTCCGAGAAGTCCCGGGATTTGTAGAAGGGAATGGCCCCGTTATTCTTTAGTTTAGCTAAATTTCGATCACTACTTAAAACTTTGAAATGGCGGCCCGATTAAATCTACAATTTTACAACTAGGATCGACTGAAATGCGACTTTTTACCTAACTAGTCAAATTTGAAAAAGTAAATAGTCGACTACAGTCACGTTGGAATAAGGGACGCTAAATACTGACAGCCCCATATCGACGTCGTATAATATGAAGACGCTTTAGTTTCCGCACACAGTTAAAGCTATGAAGTGCAATTCTGAGATAATAGCTAGTGATGTTACTGCGATATCCTGGCGTCGTGGCTGACCTATATAATGTTCTTGCCAAATTGTACTAACGTTGAGCAACGAACACACAGACGTCTTCTTCATATGAGCCCTTTTAATGGGTAAAAGATACGTGGAACTTACAACTTTATTATAGGCAATGGTGTAATAAAAAGATTGTGTTGTGATATAACTGAATGCTTCGTTGCGACGCACAAATTTAAAGAAACAAAACAATTAATCAACATTTTTTTTATTATACCAAGTAGCGGGACGAACAGGCGCGCCTGGCAGTAAGCGACACGCCTATCCATAATAGTTTCAGAGTTTTAAATCGCAAACATCTGAGGAGCACTGCCACTGGGCACGTCACCCTGAGGCAAGTTGACGAAAGCGAGAAGGCTAAAAGTTTGTGCCAGTGGAATGGCGGAAGAGGTTTGACAGGAGATAAGCGACTCGAGGCTCATTCTTTGCTTACCTCTGTAGGAGACAAGCGTGACAGTATGTTGTGGGTAACGATTTAGGCGGGGTCACCACTATATTATACTCGAGAAGTTGACATAACCGAAGACAATTTTATGGACATCATTATAGTATGTAAATGTATGTGGCACGCGTGACGGTGATTTAGTACTGCATAATTGTAACAATTGTTTTAATTTTATTTATTATTATTAGAGTCTAATAAATCATGATTATTTTAGTTAGACTCTCGCCTCTCCCAGGGCCTAAAAGATTAATTTTGAATTTTTATTATTACCTCTCTTGTTTTGTTTATATGCGTGTCTGTGCTTGTGTAATAAACAGTTTTCCTTATTTTCTTTCTTTCTTTCTAAATACATTAATACAACGAGTTGCGCGAGAAAAGTAAAAGTTAAAACCACTATGTGCCTAGCTTATGGGTACGTCTTTGTATAAATATTTCGAAGCTCAATGTGTTTGGCTGAAATCCAGTGTTAGGCTAATTGGCGCAATAACTGCAGTAGGATCAGGGAAGGTCCTGCGGCTGTACATTCGCAACTCCGTTACGGTCGTAATATTATTAGAGCTTGAAATTAACTTGCATAATCTTGTTCATCCTGGGTAGAGCAAAGTTTCTATTGTTGATTCTTTAAGTCTGTTAACTAATTTATCTAAAAAGGCCTTTGCGTTATATAATTTATTTTGGGCGTGTGTGTGTTTCTTTATTTAACATAACTGGCGCCCAAAGTGGGGCCGTGAACTTATTGCGTAGGTTACGTAAACGTTTTGTTGTATATTCTGTAATTGTTATATATATATATATATACATAAACAATGTTATCTTAAGAAACCGTCACCCTAATTTAAATGAAATCTTTTTATTTCAAAAAAACACGAACAAGGCGCCAGCTACATTAATAATGATTATCTGAATGACTAGACAGTGGTGGATGGGTCTATTTTTCGCGGGTCGCAATTAATTCGCACATTCCGTTATCTGGCGAAGAGAATATTTATTCATGGCTTTTCTGGAGGTAGGGACACCAACATTTGTCTGAATTTTTTTTGAAAATGTATTGTACAAACAAAAAATCTGTTTTTGAAAGTTTTTTCTGTTTGGAAATTTCATGATTTAAAAACTACACATTATTGCAATAACGACTCATATAATCTTCAATCACAAACTTATATGACAAAGTTTCTTCATTACAAATAACATATATTTAACGTTACATGAAATTTATGATGCTTAAAGTATAGT